CAAGCTCCTACTAAATGCCTCGCAGCTCGTACTCGTAGCAGCAATGAGGAGAGGCACGAGAAGTTTGGCTCGCTCGCCAAACGAGCGAGCGCTGCTTGTTTGCTCGCGCTCCTATTAAACGAGCGAGGCTGTTGTGTGTTGCCTCGCTCGCAGTGCGAGGTGAGTAGCTGTCTGCATACTCACTCTGCTAGGAAAGACGAGTGAGCGACGAGCGAGCGCTCCGAGTGTACTATACAACACATGAATTTTTGTGCATAAAAATGTGGGAATGTATGTCAATAGATTATGTACGAAAGTATGTTAATGATTGTATGTACATATGCATATATATATGTAAAGTATTATATTAGGGCAGCATTTGAAACAACAAATAAAATTGATTACATACATAAGCATAGATTATGGAATGAATTATTTTTTAGAGTTATATTCATACATGTGTACACACATAACATGCATATTTATATATGTTTGTATGTACGTATTTATGTATATATGCATTTATGTGTGCATGTACATATGAATGTATTTTGTCTTTACAGAGAAAAGTAAGTAACGAAGATATTATAATCGTTTGTGTCGCAGAAACAAAAAACAAGTAAATAAGCACTTGTTAACACCCCCAAAATAGTTTGCTACTTGTAGCAGTTCTGGCTGTGTACCTGAATGAAATATAGTCCTTGGTGAAAAAATTTATTTGTGGCCTGTTGTTCAAGGACATATGTACATATGTATGCATGTATGTATATATGGATATGTAGACATGGGAAAATTTGCGTAAACAAAAAATAGAGACCGGTTCGCATACAACTTTGGCGTTGCGTTGGCGTCGAATTTCAAAGCAGCCGTCCACATATCCAAAATTTGGCAACGCTAAGGCCAACACAAAGCAGAAAGATCGCTGCGTCGGTCGCCAGCTGTTGCAAATAAATAAAATTAAATGAAATATTTTTTCCTTTTAATACAATGAAGGCAAGAAATATAATTTTTCATGCAATTATTGATATGAAATATTAATTTATCTCTCGTTAATATGTTAATTTAGTGGCCAAAGTAGTCTCTGCCAAGCTTCATCGTAGAACGCATACTTTTAACTTGCTTTATGTTAAACCAACGCCAACTACAAATTCAACGCGAAAGTTCTATGTGGACCAGCCTTAATTATCAAATAGTAGTTTGTATTATCCTACATACATACATATGTATGGGGGCTAAACCAGGAATATTCATTTGAAAATGCTGATGTCCTACTCATTTATTAAATGAAAGACAAAATAATGATTTTTATAAATATTATATTCTCATTTATACATATGTAACATAGTTACTTAGGCTAATTACTTAGTAATTACTTGTATGTAAGAATACAAACAAAAATTATTTATCAGAAGCATTGCACCTTACATATTGAAAAAAGTAATAAAAGCTCTTAAAAAAGCAAAATCGTTACAGCGAAAAAAGTGTTTGAAAAACCGCATAAATTCAAATCCGCATAAAAAAGAACCGCATAAGTGTATAAGTTGAAATTTTATAAGAAATTATTGAACATTAAAAACATTATATATACATGTGCCTACCTAGTAGATAAAACTGGTCAAAATAGCACGAACCTATTCTTCTGTGCATGAGTATATATACATAAATATATACAAACATATGTGTATATACATATGTATGTATATACATATCTGCATGCGTGCATACAATCCTTTACTCGAAATTCTTAGTTGCTGCAATTTTTATCCCATACATTTTTGCCGACCAAACAACGCGTTTGCCTGTCTAATCTGCTTGCCTCATTTGCCTCGCTCGTTTACTCGCCTCGCTCGTCTGCTGCTGCAAATGAGTGCCTCGCTCGCAACGACGCCCTCGCGAGGGCAGAGCTAATGAGGCCCTCGTTTGCTTTCCGCTCTACTCTTGCGCTGCCCTCGTTTGCTTACTCGCTCGCTGGCTGCTCAGCGCGTGCGCTCGTACTTAACGAGTGCTCGTTTGCAAACAGCCTCGGTTGTTGCTCGTGAGTTGCGCTAGCTCAGAGCAAACTAACGAGCGAGCGAGGCAAATCCGAACCCTGCATATAAGTATATAAGTCTGACAAAATAATATTACGACACCCTTACCGCCATCGCGAACAACTACAGCCAATCGACTGGTTCCTTAACAGCAGCAACCTCCGCGTGATTCTTCCGTGAAGTATCGAGCAAACCGTATAACAGATCGTCTGTGCCTCATTCGAGAATGGCCCACAGTAAAGACCTCCTATATGAAGGCTTCGTCAATCGACCTAACCATTGTCTGATTGTTGTTGATGTAAGCAATCTGAGCTCCCGCCTGGCTTCCGCGAAGGAAATGCTCAAGCGAAACCAAAGGTGTTTACTTTCATTTAACTTTTTCTTGACTAAAGGGCCTTCATGCCACTGCATACACACATATATATGTATGTCTTTACTTACCGTGGTGAAATTCAAATGATATTTCCAAAGTAAATGAAAAGAACTGTAAAATTATTTAATATTTATCTATTCTTAAATAGCCGACTATACATACAATGCTTGGAAGCTGCGAAAAATGATATTGCCAAACTTCGTACAATAAATAACTATTTTTATTTTGCCGCGCAGAAAATTTTGTTTCTTTTTTTAATAAATTTTTTGCTTTTATATTTATGAGCATACAATCGTTTTATTGTCAATGCTCTAAATACTAATTTTATTGTTTTCGTACTCTGGGGAAATGAAATATAAATATATATACATATATTCGCCTAATTTATAAAAGAAGCTTCTAAGAAGATAATTAAATTATATAAAACAAAATACTTCGATTTTCATTATCGCTAGAAATAAGTAAAAGGTAGTTTATTTTAGAAAGGATTATATGGATACCATCTTCGTTTGTATTGCACTTTTTTCAAATGAGTCTATAAAACTTGGTTAAAAACATGAGAGAAAAAAAAATAAAAAAAGGGTATGTGTTTTATAGTAACAGACCACAAAATTTAGCACTACATCTAATTTCCATTAGACTGCGCTGTGCAGGACTGACCTTAGTTAGGGTGGCTTAGAAATCTATCTCAGCGAGAATATTTTTTAGTTCTAATTGTTGCCTTAATTTATAATTGACGCAATTAGATTCTATGAAAATGATATTTCACTAGATATTAGTAAGATTTTTAAATGCCATAAAAAACCCCCATAGAAATGGTCCTGTATACATACGTAAGAACGTTATTGGCCTTAAAAGTTTGAGTCCAGTTTTTGTGACCATAACATGATGTCCAGTTTTCATTTCCAAAAAAAAAAACAAACATCATTTTTTAAACTACTGAAAACTTAAAACTAGTTTTTTAATTACAAAAAAAAATATGAATGTGCAAAAAAAAATATAAATGGCCAAAAATTCATGCTCAGTGCCACAAATGGACTTTTATATGATCGAAAGTTTAAGTCCAGTTTTTAACTACAAATAAAGCAACATTTATTTCTTGCTTTTTAATTATGTCCAGTTATAAATTTACCAAATATTTGGTTGCGTCCCAAATTACCAAAAATGAAGACGCAGTTTTTAAATCAGCAAAAATAAAAGTGCAAAAAATTATGTTCAGTTTTTCATAGACCAAAAATTTACCTCCAATTTTAAACCACCCAAAAAAACTAGAGTCCTGCCTTTAAGCGCCTACAAATTTAAATTCCGTTTTTTAAGCAATAAAAAAATGATGTCCTACTCCTAAATGATCAAAGTCGCATGCTAAGCTTTTAAGTGGCTCAAAATATATGTCCTGTTTTTTACATGGCCAGTTTTAACGTTTTTTAAACGACCAAAAATTTATTTTTTGCTCTTTATTTATGTCCAGCTTTTAGGTTATCAAATATGTTGTCCCCTCTCTAATCAACAAAAATTAAAGCTATAATTAAAGCTTAGTATGTAGGTAAGAAAAAGTGTTCGGTTTTCAAAACCTCAAAGTATCTTCAGTTTTAAAATTACAAAAGAGTTATTTCCATTTTTTTATTTATCAAAAAAAAAAAAGTATGTCCAATTTTTGTAAAACCATACAATGATATCTGATTTTAAATACAGTTTTACAACTACCAAAAAATTATGACGCGCAGTATTTAAATGATCATTTTAGTCTAGTTACTAATAACTCAACAAATATCATAAAAAATATATGATGTGTTTTAAAGAGACCAAAAATTAGTGCGTAGTTAAAAACAAAAAACAAAAAACAACAATTTATCTCCAGTTTATAAATGATCATCAATTTGATGTGCAGTTTTTAAATTTCCAAATATTTATGTTAAACTTTTAAATTATTAAAAATTTATTTAAAAAAAAAATGTTATTTACAAAAAATACTCCAAGCTTTCATATTAAAAAAATTATATAAAATTTTTTCTATCATGTATGTAACCTTAACTACATAGGTACCCAGATATTGTAATTTTCTGGCTTTTTCATATTTTGCAAATAGGTTTCGGTGCTGTTGTCCTACCATTAGCATCAGTCGAGTTGACACGAAGAAAGAGCAATTTCGCTTACTACATACGACAATATTTTCAGTCAAATTTTTAACCAAGTCACACGGACTAAACACATAGAGGTTGAAATTCATGAAGTAAATGAGGATAGCGGTTACTAGGAGTACAAAGCATACGATAAGATACAGTTGTTTGTTGTCTGGCAACGTCGAGGCATGGCAGAGAGTAGTAGTGAATGGCCAAGAAAATTTGAGGTAAGGTCGAAAATTAATTGAAACGAATTGGGTAAACTAATATGGGAATTGAGTTTATCGAGAAATGGAAATTTCAAAATATGAAACATTCGACACATTTACGCTTTTTAGTTACATAATTTATGATTACCTTTTTAATTTTATAACTTAAGTTTTTTTTTTTTGAATTTTTTTTGTAAAAAATTTTTTAATTTAAAATTTTCATATTTAATTTTTTATATATATTTTTCATCTAAATTACTCTATGCAGCGTCCACGTTGCGTCCACCCGTCAAACTTTGGCGCCCCAGGCACGTTTCACCATATACGCTCCCTTCTCGGCAATCATCACCGCCGGCGCATGCGTATTGCCCGATGTCACCTGCGGCATGATGGATGTGTCCATAACACGCAGTCCCCGCACGCCATGCACACGCAACTCATGATCGACCACAGCCAAGGGATCGCTTGCCGGGCCCATTTTACACGAACCCGCTTGATGATTTTCCGGTCCAGTGTCGCGCCGTACCGCGCATTCCCAATAGGCATCTGTGCCGAAGGTAAACGACTCACAACCCATTGCCGGCGTCTTATCCAACCGCATGCCATACTGTTTGAGCGGTGTAGTTTGCGATAATTTGATGGCGAACTTAATGCCTTCGATCAGAGTTTTAACATCACGTTCATCAGTCAAATAATTGGCGACGATGCGTGGCGGCGCTAGAGGATCGTTGGAGGCGAGCGTAATTGAGCCACGTGATTTGGGATGCAAAACAGCTGGGAAAATTTGTACAGAGCGCATGTTGTTCGATAGCAGCTCGCCAACTTGGCCGGTACGCGAGCAGCTTGCCATGTAGCCACCGAAGTAGAGTTGCAAATCTGGTACATTTGGTTCGTCGGCATAGCGTGTATGCAGTTTGGCGGTCACATCTGAGATGCCGGTGCCAGACATAAGACCGTCGCGGAAGAGTAGATATTCCATGGCGGTTGCCCAGTTGAGGGGGGCTGTGTCCGTATCGTCGATGAAGAAGTTGGTAAAGTAGGCGACATGATTGTGTAAATTCTTGCCAACGCCGGGCAAATTATGTACGGGACGTACATTGGCCTGTGTGGCAAAAACAGTGTTAAGTTAGATTTTAGATTTTATAGTTTTATCCTCAATGGTAGTCGTTTTACCTTCATTACTTCGTCGGCTGGCCCAATGCCGCTAAGTAGAAGTATTTGCGGTGAGCTTACGGCGCCACCGCTGACAATCACTTCCTTCTTGGCGAATATCTTGCGCGTGCTACCATACTGATCGATCACTTCAACGCCAACTACGGTTTTACTATCGGGTTTGAAAAGCACCTTGGAGGCGGTGGTGTTAAGCAGAATGTGTAGGTTGTTGCGACTACGCGCCGGACGCAAGAACGAACGCGCCGAACTCCAACGTATGCCATTACGCGATGTCATTTGGGCGATCATGAATCCGGTGGCGTTGCGGCCATTCAAATCTTGCACCGTGTAGCCTGAAACATAAAATTGTAAAGGATTGTTAAGGAAATAATATCGACGGCTGAGTAGAAGATCGACCTATTTCGGCGTTTTCGAACCACTGAATCACGTACGCCATGTCATATCATGCGATGTTATTTTATGTGATGACGTGATATCACATACATATGTAGTGTCATATCTTATGACACCAAATTGTATGAATTTAAAATTTACCATAATAGAAGTTTATAAAAACGTTTAAATCATTCATTCACCACTTACCCATCTCCTCTCCACCCTTCAATATCGCATATGACAATGGTGGATTGTATGGGAAATGTGATACCGGCAATGGTCCACCTTTCGCATGCAAGTCCCTATCCACTTCATCCAATTGCATATTATCCTCCGATTTCATAAAGAATGGCAAGACGTCATCGTAAGACCAACCGGGATTGCCCGCTGCAGCCCAATTGTCGTAGTCTTCTCGATTGCCTCGTATATACATCATACCGTTTAGCACTGAGGTGCCACCCAATACTTTACCACGTGGCCACGAACAGCGTTGTCCTTCGGAACCCAAGCACGCCATACGCTCTGGTTCGGTTGTGAAGCCCCAATCAATGCTGCTGCCAAGGAAATTTAAGAACATTGAAGGTATTTGTGCCCCAACCGGTTCATCGCCGCCTGCAAAGAAGGAAACAGACAAAATTAAAGAAGTTCGTGGAATTTGAAATATTATCATATATGTATATAAATATGTAAAATTTTTATTTGAGTTGTAATCTATTCAAAGGATCGGAGTTAAACACCAAAAACGATGGTTTTGCTTATCTTATTATTTTGGTTATCAGGTTATCTGGTTATATATTTTATTTAGTTTACAACAATAGAATACACTACAGCATAATAATTTTTAATCAGATAACCTGTTCAACCGGCAAGTGTGAACAATCCCAATATCTTATTTGAAAGTTCGCCTCTAATTCTGTTCTATTACTTCACCTGTTTATAATTTCACCATAGCATATATCATCGTTACCTGCAGACTTATTGTGATTTCGGGCAAAATTTTTTGGAAGAAACGAAATCACCAGTAGATACTTAATTTTTTTAATTTTATTTAATTTTTTTTGCTTATTTTGAGACATTTAACTTTTGTTGATAATTTATTCCGCATTTTATTTTTTATTTTAAAATAATTTGTTTACTTTCTCACGCTTAAAATAGTCATTGCAATTAGTTTTGCCACTCCGGCGAATATTTTGCGCTATGGCTGTCGGCAAATATTGTATGTACACCTTTTCTATTGCTTTATTTATAAGCCACTATTTTCTTTCAGCTTAGCCGCCAATTTGGCGTTACTTGTTGGATGCTTCAATTACTTTGCTTTGTCACTGTTTTATTATTTTAGCTAGACTCTAAGTTGATGTCAAAGTTGACGTATCACTGCTAGCTATGTATCTATTATCTTGATTAAAAAAAAAAAAACATTTCATGTTGTTATTTTATATGTATGTATGTATGTGTATTTATTTGATTCCACAGTTTATTTCTCATCACCGCCCTCGTCGAAGTCATGTCGTGAAACGGGTCAAAGGTGTTTTGATACAATTTCGGTGCATCATCAATTGCGATCTGGCTCTTCTACAGTTATTTCTTTTCTATAAATAGTTAAGAGTTTTATTTTCTTGCTTCTCATGTTTTTTTTTTTGGTTTTCTCCGCTTCCCTCTGTAGAGTTTCAAATTATGCGGTTAAATGGCGTAATTTTTCACGGGTTAATTGTGCGATTGCGTCAGCCGTCAGCCAGAAGCATTTCCAAAAACCCTCCGCTACTCTGAGGGAAAATTCAATGAATTTGTGAAATCAGTCAAACTAAGAAATGAGTAATTTTTAGTGCTTCTGCTTATTTAGTGTACTTGTTGTTGTTGTTGTCGTTTGTGTAATTTATTTTGCATAGTTAAACCCATAAATGCATTATCCGTGGCTTGTTTGGTAATACAAAACCATCCGAACGGCGTATATATGTATATAGACAACGTAAAAAAATTGCATAAAATTTGCAAACGACACCAGCTTTAAAGCGTTTTTGCTCGAGTGTTGAGAAAATTTGTGTATGTATTTACTTTAGGCGATACAAATTTGCATTCATACATATGTATGTGTATACTGAATGTATTGGCCAACCGATGACCATACAAATAATAATAATACGTAATATATACTTAACTTTTTATTTACCCTTTTTAAGATGTACATATTTTGTTAAATTTTTAATTACATTTTCCAAAATTATTTACCTTATATTTCATTTCACTTTATTTTATATCACTTAATTTTTATGGTTGTTATTTTATTTTATTTTCGTTTATCTAATTTTATTTGATTTTATTTTTAATTTAATTAATTTTTTTTAAATTTCATATTTCTTTAATTTCATTTTATTTTACTTTGTATTTAATTTAATTTTTTTTATATTTTATTTTATTTTAATCAATATTGTTTTTTTTCTATTTCACTTAAGTTTATTATTTTTTATTATATTTCTTCACTGTTCTTCATTTTATTTATTTTTATTTGTTTTATTTTATTTCTTTCTTTAATTTTTTGTATTTTGTTTTATTTTATTTAAGTTTATTTTAATTTTATTCCATTTTACTTTATTATACTTGTAATTTAATTAAATTAAATTGATATTTTATTTTATTTTATTTTATTTTATTTTATTTTATTTTATTTTATTTTATTTTATTTTATTTTATTTTATTTTATTTTATTTTATTTTATCTTATTTTACAAAATTTTTTACTTTGTTTTATTTTATTTTGTTGTATTTTGTTTTATTTAATATTTTGTTTTGTTTTATTTTATTTAATTTTCCTTCTTTTTTACCTTGTTTCAGTTTTTTTTTAAATTAATTTGATTTGATTTAATTTAATTTAATTCTTTATATTGTGTGTTGCATTAAATTTTTTGTATTTGATTTAGTTTTATCTTATTATAATTAAATTTGACTCGATTCTATTTCAATATTAAAAACCTGGAAAGCCATGCCCAACTGAGATAAATAATCGGTTTCATCGTCAATAATAACACATACGTGGCTAAAGACAGCTGCAAAGTTTTTGTTATTGTTTACACCTTATACATATCTAGTATCCGTGGCAACGGCAGATTGTGCCGGTTGACTGACAGCTGGTAGCGTTTTGCTGTCAATAATTAGTGGAAATTTATCGCGCGCGAATGTGTGGTTTTTTGATGTTTGTGGTAAGGTTTTATTCATACTTAATTTATAGATTATGCAGCCTGATTAAAGAAATTATGACATTTGTCGATGGTTGCATAAAGCAGTGACTTACAAGTCTGATGGCGAATCTATGGCAGAAAAGTAAAAATTTGTGGAATTTTTCCAAGCTCTGCACAAAATTAAAAAAAAAAAATATCAAAAAAAATTAGTTTGAAAAACATTGTAATTATTAAATACGAAACATCATGCAACCATTTTTGACCGCCACTGTATCTACAAAATTCACGTATATATGTACATATGTACATATCTACAAATACTAACTAGCATTTTCGGGTTCCCTCCATTAAACTACTTCTGTATTAAAGATGATTTGTATTTGGCAATACTGACCTCGGCTGAAATCTACGTATTTTCGCATTCACGCGATCTCTGAATTTTAAATATTTAGTTGATAATGATGAGTTTTAATTTCTATCTTAAATTACAGTTTTGTTTCTTTTATTGTTAATTATTTTAACTTCCCACCACTTCAATACAAAAGCCATTGCCAGCTGCGCCGCGCCCAAACTGCAAATTATTTATGTACACGTACATGCACCACCGTATTTATACAATTTTCATATATTTCCTCATCATGAACGACGGAGGCAACAACATACATAACAACAACAAGGTCAAGTACATGAAATCTTCGTTTAATGCTTGAATTTATTTTGAATAACTTTTTCCGAGACAAATTATGATGGGAATTGAATTTTAATTCCGTCTGTGTTTATATGTATGCATTTGCTTTGTAGTTTTTTTTTTTTTTTATAAAATCCTTCTGTTTTATTGTATTTGTAAGCAGTTAGCCGCTCGCTGCAGTTAACTGACATTTGCAAATAACAAGTAAGGCTTACGAAATTTAAGGTAAATTTGCATAAATAGCTATGCAAGTTTATATGTAGATATGTATGTAATTAATTAATTGAGTGGAGACCATCTCAGCATTAACATATTTTAATTTTCTGTGTAAGAAAGGTCGTATGAGATTTAAGCAACACTTTAAACTAATCTTTTTTTTTTTAATCATAAAATGTATAGTTAGATAAATAAGCAGCAGAGAAAAGAAGCGTACGGCTGACTAATTACGCTGAGTGCTTGAATACTCGCCATCTACACCAAACTCCTAGTAAAGTCACTCGAGCCATTTTGATGAAGAAGAGTGTGGAGAGTTTTTAGAAGTAAAATTAGTGGAATGCTCCCTTCTTTCCGTATCCTTTTATTTTTTATCTCCGCATATGTAATAATGATGTATTTTGGAACGATTTTCCGTCATCCCTGGTTAAATTTGGTTTGGAGACAAATCAGCGTCGGCATTGTTCAGTATTAGGGTACGAAAATTTAGATTGGTGATGGCACAAACTTTGACGAGCGATGACGGAAAATCGTTCCAAAATATATCATACGAAAATGAGAATATGTAATCGTAATTTATTCTGAATTTCATCGAAATTTGACCTCGCCGAATTTATTCTTGTTCTAGAGTAATTTGCTAGAAAAAGTCACTTCCAAATTGAATCGCTGTTTTTTTCTTTTCATTTATATATAATATAATATTTTAATATGGACACATGGATTCGTAGTACATACAAAAAATTTAGAAGCAGATCTCATAAATTTATATTTTTCTATGAGCCGTAAATGCTTACAGAAAACAAGTTTCCAACTATTTTATCAATTTCAAAAATTTGCTTTTTGTTATAGCTTCAATGCACACTTGCTCACGAAAACTTCTTAATTGAATAAATACATATATCCGAGTGGTGGTTGTAAAGTATGTCAACTTTTAATGAATGCGAAAAACGTACATATTTTCGGCGAGACTTCCTAATATAAGTATTTATTTATGCGATAAACACTAAGCAGAACTAATGAAATTTTAGACATCTAAATATTCAAAATTAGCAATAGTTTGCATGTTTAATAGTAAAACTTTAATAAATGAATATACTATAGTTGTTAAAAAAAGCAGATGGACAGACACATATCTTCGTAATTTTTTGGGAGTCTATTTGACTGAACATGTCTTCCTTATCAAGCTTATTAATTGTATGAGGATATCTGCAAAAAAAAATAATTTTGAATTAATCATCTTTATTTTTATTAAACCGCCGAGTTAATGATTTGTTAATAAGTTAAAAAAAAAGTACTTTTGATAAACATGCATTGCTATAAAAAGCGATGGGGTGAGCTTGCATCTCAAATGTTTAAATATACCTATGTGCATAGATGTTTAAGTTGACATACGCATGTATAAGTTTATGCTATAACTACCATACCAATCTAGTATAAATAAGTACTTATTCAGCAACCTTGACAACCTGAAACAAATGAACTTTACATGCTATTGCTTCTTGCTGCCATAAAAAGCGTACAAGTTGGAAAATTGCAACA